GAGCTCACCAGTGACATGACAGATGGAGGAACTTGACAGTTCTGTAGTGGGGGAGCCATGGACATGTTCAAAATGAAAACGCAGCCGGCCTTTTGGGCTAGCCACTCGTCACTGGGGCTAGCCAGGGACCAGAGCCTTACACAGGAACGAGACCTTTCTCAATGAAATCCCCTCCCATGTTTAAATTACTAGAATTGCTTGATCTAGGGATTCAAGAGCAGTAGGATTTCTAGCAAGGCTGTAAACAGTCTCATAAGCAATTATAGTTATTCCCCTAAAGCCTACTCCAGCAAGTACTAATATGAGTGCTTCCGCTAGGGTCTGCAGTTCCCCACCTTTATACAAGATTTTCTTTAGACTAGAAGAGCCACAGGAAAAGGCAAGGGCAGGGATACTCAACAGTAAGATTTACTGTGCAGAGCTGAGGGGAACAGGATACCTACTGAGCTGGGCTTTACACCTGTTGGAACACGGTATTCTTTAATGAACAGAATAAGAAAAATACGTGGTTGGTTATTACTATTGACTTACGAATCCCTTAAATGGATAGTCTGATAAAATAGTTGCTGATCTGTAAAGTGTAGAAAAATCTGAGAATATTAATATTACTCATACTAGAGCTCTGAGGACATCCTCTGTGCATTAAGAGTTTAATATTAAGGAGAGAAGTTGGGATATTGTAAAATCTCATTTATAAAAGCTCAGGCGAGAAGAAAATTTTCTTTGTTGGTGAAATTGTTGTCTTAGTTCAGGCGACTATTTCCTAGTCCTTGATGACCTGTGAATAAAGGAACTCTGTAATCCCGAATTCTCTTACTATGGGAGCGCTGCCACCATTGGTTAGGCACGGTTGGTGCACAGAGCCTTACAGCCTTGCTTTCCCTGATGCCAAGGAAGCCCCGAGGGAAAGTATAGTCTTCTTCTGTTGCTGTGTATATATTGAGGTGCAATTTTTTTTTGTTGTTGTTATCTATTCTGAGCTTTCTGAACCCTGATAGTATTTGGAGAGGAGGAGGTGGTGTTGATGTTGTGTGTTCTCCTCCACATCGGGCTCTCTCAGTTTGGAGGGAAATGTAGGTGTAGGAAAGTTGACCTTGGAATGTGAATGCTGGTGCAGCACTTAAATATGTTGCCATGTGAATAATAGAGATTGATCTTATTGCTCTCTAATATATTTGTATTTATCTTAAATTCATTTGAATTAGTAGTTGTAACTGGAGAAGTTTTTGTTACTTTGATCCTGGCCTGCCTCACTGGTAGGATAGCCTCTTTTAGCGCGTCTTAATGGAAAGATGGCTGAAAGGAATAAGTGATGATTTCTGCAGACTGCATAGAAAATGTCTTTTGTTCCCAATGGTAATACTTTATTTTCAAGCACATTTCACTGTTTGCTGAGAATGGCAGCTTCACTCAAAAATGCTAGACATTCTTACCTGTAGAGTTGATAGTACTCTCAAGCATTCCTTGAGAGCACTGCTTTTCGCTGAGTTTTTCCTGGGCCCCACCATTCCTAACTCCAGGTAGACGGAGTAGATATCACAGCAAAACAATTTTAAAGTGCTTTGCTTAGAGCACTTTGTTTATGATTGCACTGTTTACATTTCTCATTTAGTAAAAGGCATTTTACTTCATTCTGTTAAAATTTAGTGTTTAGAGAGGGGGGTACTGTATGTGTATACAATATGTATCATTTTATATGTTATACTGTTATGTCATATATACTTGCAATATCAGACCTTGCATTCAATACATAATGCAATAGACTCTTTCCACACCTGTATTTTTCAGTGAACAATAAAAAGGTTGTTTGGCACTACTTGTTTCTCATGTTTCCTCTTCTTTGAATAATGTGTCCTTCAGTATCTGTTATTGCAGTTTTTGTCTCTTATAAAACTTGGCTATACATTCTTTTGTTTATGAGTGCTCAGCTCTGAGACTTTTTTCAAAGAGAAATCTTTGTTATCTGATTTAAAATCATAAGGCGTAGTTCATTTCTGTGTGTTCAGAAACAGTTCGGTGCAGAGAAGTTCCTTGCGCTCCCTTAAACCAAGTGGAGGAGAATCCTCACAAATCCTGGAACCTCACCTTGAAGAGTCTAATTGTAAAATAGTGAATTTATGAAACACCATCTAATAGTGGCTAAAGATGGGAGTTGGCTGACAAGGAGAGTATAATGCAGCTTCTCCCCAGTGGCTGCGAGTAGCCTGTAGAGCCCTTTGTTTTTCCTTTCCTCAGTGACAGTGCAGTTAAGTGGCCAACCTTGGTCTTTGCCATCAGGCTCTGTAGAGAATCATTCTGACCTGAAATTCAAACACCCATTCACTCTAGTTTGACATGAGGCTGCTCCGGGTTTATGTTGACTGTGTTATTATCAATAGATGAAATAGCCACAGGACCAAGGGCCCTTTTCTCCTAACTTGTAAATCAGTAGAAAAGGTGTGTATTCTTCAGGTAATAGCCCAGATTAGTGTACAAATTTGTCAGCCTTTCTTCCTCACTGAAATTGTGGCTCTAGTTTGTTATTTGTTTGATATTTAGTTGGAATGGGGGTTTCCCTGTACCAGACTNCAAGTGAGTTCTTAACCATCGCGCCACTCGGCCGGCCCTCAACCACCCTTTTTAAAACTACACTTGTCAAGGTAAAAAAGGACCTCCATTTCTCCAAATCTAATGGGCATTGTTCTTTTTCATCTCAGCAGCCTTTAAAAAGAGTGGACCACTTTCTCTTTGAAACTTTTTCCTCTTTGACTTCTGCATCACACTGTCTTGATTTTCCTCTTACCTCATTATTTGTTCTTCTCAGACCCGTTCGCTGACTCCTTTTCAATAAGAGTCAAGCCCAATAGGGTGGCGCGGACACTTGTAATTTGCTTCTGTGATACTAAACAGCACAAATAATTTATAAATGTTCTCAGAGCTTGGTCTTAACTTCTCTTTTCCCTTCTCTCTACAATAATTCTCTGGGTAATTGTGTTCATGGCCATGGCTGTAAATACTGTTTACAGGCTGTGTCTCCATATTTCTTTTTCTACAATAGTTCAGGCCTCTGCCCTGAGCTCCATACTCATATATCTAAATGCTCACCTGACATCTACATTTTGAAATCTCACAGGCATGTCACTTTTTTTTTTTTTTTTAGCTGAGCCATCCTGCTACCTGTTGGCAGCTCAGCAGCAGCTCAGCTTGGGCCATGAATTGAACCGGCGACCCTGTTGCTCAGAGTTCACACTCTTGAGTGAGCTCTTAACCAACTGAGCCACTCGGCTGGCCAGGCATGTCACTCTTAACATTTCCTATTTGGACCTAATTCTCACCCATCACTCCAAGCTTGGTCTTCCTCAGGTCTTTGTTATGTCATTAAATAGCACCACCATTTACCTAAAGCCAGAAACATGGAAGTCATTCTTGGCCTCTCCCTGTCCTTCACACTCCCTCTATCAGCGAGTCCTGTCAGTTCTTATCATCCCCTCTCTATCTCTGCCTCCACCACCCTGTTCTAAGTCACCAAGCTGGCCTCTCCTCATCCAGCACAGAATCTTCCTAACTGGTCTCGCGGCTTTCACCACAGGCTCCTTGAGTCCTTCTCTGCAGTTTTAAAAATCTGAAGTCCTTCAGCTCCCCTAGCTAAGCCCCTTTGTGACCTTCCATTGCACTGAGTATAAAATCCACACTCCTTACAACATGCTCCGTGGCTGGCCCCTGCCTTCTTCTCTGACCTCCTCTCGTGCTGCCCTTCTGTCCCTGCACATGATTAAGATCTGCTCTTCTCAGGTCCGCAGCTGCACTGAGCTCCTTTGGTTCCCTCCCTCAGTCAACACAAGGCTGGCTCATCCCTCCACTCGGGGCTTTCCCTGACTACCCCAAGTAGATCCCCTTCTTCTCACCTATTCTAGCATCATCACAATTATAATTATTCTTTCCTAGCATTCATCACAATTTGTAATTGTTTAATTAATTTGTTGCTTCATTCATTGCCTGTCTCCCTTGCTAGTATATAACCTCCATCAGCATGGACCCTTTGTTCTTCACTATTGTGTAACATAGCACCTCTTGGCATCCCATCAATATTTTTCAAATGAGCTTTTAGGACTCACAGCAACCCAAATTCTAAGAGTCAATGAATTAACACAGGAATGATTATAAACTGGGCCCAAGTTATATAACATGTATCTTCTCTGGGGCATTCCATTAGGTTCCGGCTTCTTATTACATTTTAGGGTTGCCATTCGAATACACAAAGCACGGATCTCTGGGCTAGTGTCTGTTGACTAAGTTAGTTCTGTGTGTCTGTGTGGCTTCCGGTGCTCCCCAAAACATGACATACGTTGTATGTTTGGTGAAACGCACCCAACTATTAAAAGCATTCCATATTTTCCTTTATGTTTGGTTACTCCACATTTTTTTTTAAAGATTTTGTTGGAGAATTTTGGAAGGGAAACAGTGTTGGGGAATTGGGGAAGGGGAACAGCTAAGTTATTGTCCTTCAGTCTACGTTGTGGAGGGTGCAGCTAGCTCAGCTCCAAATCCAGTCGCCATCCGGCCTCCTGACGGCAGTTTGCAGCCACTCAGCTCAAGGTGCCGAGTTCAATCTTAGTTGCGGTTGGGCCTACCCCACCATCCCATGTGGGAGTCGAACTGGAAACCTTGTAGCTAAGAATGCATGCTCTCTGACCACTGTGCCATCGGCCACCTGTTGGCAGCTCAGGGCAGCTTAACTCAAGGTGCCGTGTTCAATCTTAGTTGCGGGTGGGCGTAGCTCACTATCCCATGTGGGAGTCAAACCAGCAACCTTGTTAGGAGTATGTGTTCTCACCAGCTGAGCCATCCTGTTACCTGTTGGCAGCTTAGCTTGGGTGCAGCTCACTGGCCCACGTGGGAATCGAACTAGCAACCCTGTTGCTCAGGGCTTGCACTCTTAACCAACTAAGCGACTCGGCTGGCCCACTCCACATGTTTAATAAGCTTGTTATTACCCAAACTGATCGATTTTTCTTTTGCAGACCTTCATTAGTCCTCATTATGGAATAAACCTGGTGTCAGCGTACATGATCATGGTGCCCATGGGCGTCTGGGCATTCTTTGCGGCTGGAGGCAGCTGCCGAAGCCTGAGACTGTGCCTGCTCTGTCAGGACAAGGACTTCCTTCTTTTCAGCCAGCGCTCCAGATAACCTCCAAGAGCCAGCACCTCTCAAACAGTAAGCTGTGTTGTTAGAGAAAGCACAACTGCCTTTTTCTAAAAATCTCTTTTCCTGGTGGAATTTAGAAAAAACAAAACTATCTAGATACGATATGGGTTTCATGCACCAGCTCTCTGAAAGGGATGCATCAGTAGTGTGCACCCTGGCTGCACATGAGAACATAGAGAGTACTGATTTCTGAGCTCCACCCTTCAGAGTCCACTGGTCTTGGCGTTTGGTAATTTTTAGAAGCATCCTAAATGATGTGCAGACAGGTTGAGAATCATCAATGTCCATAGAGGAACTTCCTGAGACCACCATTAGTGAATAAGAATCAGATGTTCAGCTGTTTCCTAACTCACCTTGTGCAGAACAAGTAAATATCTGAATGTCAGATCCTGGTGAGCTGTTGTCTTTTTCAGTTCTGAAAGCACGAAAGGCTAAAGGGCTACATCTCTGTGAACTGCTTTCGTGTACTTCACTATGCCCTGTTTTATGAGAACATGGTAGGCTGTGCTTCTAAATGCAGTAATAATAC